GCCCATGCCTCCGGCTATCCCATAACCACATTGCACTCAAACCTTTTAATGGGCAGGGAAAAGTTGTCATTGAATCCAGTCGTACCCCTCTTCTTCCATCACTCTTCCTTGTGCAATAATAATTTCCTTCCACCGCAGAACAAAATTGCATCTTGATGGGACTGGCCTCAAGGTATTGTGGAGCCATCCCCTAAACACATTGTGCTTAAACCATGATTGGATCGTCTCTTTTAGTGGAGGATTTAAAAACAAACCAGTCCATGAATCCAGTATCACTGTTCTTCTGTCACTCTTCCTTGTGCAACAATTCCCTCCGGCTGCAGTCCCATTATTGCAAAGTGGAGGATTTATGGATGGATGCAGCCCTTCTGCTGTGAATCAGCCATGTATTGCATTGATTCCCACCAGCAGTTGAAAGGGAAGTCCATCTTTTTTGGCCAGAGTCCCTAGTACCTACCATTTATTGCAGTTTGAAACCGGTGGTTTCCTTGTGCAGGTGGTTACATAGGAAATCCCGGAACCTGTTTGAGGCACAGATGGCAATAACATAAACCACAGAGCACTGATGCACATTGCTTACTTTTGTGGGAGTTGTCTTTCTGCCTCAGTTTGGAGCTAGCTTCAAACTGCATTAAGCACTCAGTGTAGATGGGGCTGTAGGTAACCACTGTATGTGGAGGGATGTCATCTTCTTCGTCTTCACCTCCAAAAGCAAAATGTCTTGAGCTAGGTAAAGGTTTTCCCCTGACTTTGAGTCCAGTCATGTGTGACTCTGGGGGTTGGTGCTCATCTCCATTTCTAAGACGAAGAGCCGGTATTATCCGTAGACACCTCCAAGGTCATGTGGCTGGCATGACTGCATGGAGCGCCGTTACCTTCCCGCTGGAGTGGTACCTATTGATCTACTCACATTTGCATGTTTTCAAACTGCTAGGTTGGCAGAAGCTGTGGCTGACAGAAGGAGCTCACACCGCTCTCCGAATTCAAACCTACAACCTTTTGGTCAACAAGTTTAGCAGCTCAACGGTTTAACACACTGCGCCACCAGGGGATCCATATGTGTGTGTATTATATATAAAGTCATCTTCAAATTTACACTGGACTTTGATAGTCCTTCTCTATTTTCCTTCTTTATTTCAAATGATCAAATTTCTTCAATTCTAAGATGACAATTAGTACAAGATGCATTTTAATTTCAGTACCACCAACAGGAAAAAAGCTTTCTGTGTATTTTTAAAAGCACCAATGATTCTCTCTGCTTTTAGAGATGTTTATATTCAGGAAAGAATTGTGCCTATAGATAGACGAAATAGAGGTATTATGTAAATATGAGATGTCCTGGACAAGGAAAAACTGTGTACAAAGCCATAGATTTCAGTTTCACCAATCTGATGTCTTTCCTTCACCTGAGTACAGGAAAGACAGCAATGGTGATGATATGGTGATACATTTGGTGAAGATCAACTCCAAATCGCTGCTCCCTTGCATCTAGCTTAGCCATTCAAAGGTGGCCAACGGTCAAGGATGATGATCTGTGTGCGTTTGCCTGAGCGCATGAAGCTCCTGGGGATTTTCTGCTCGGGTGCCAAAACCAATGGCCCGGCTCTCTTTTGAGCTGCCACGCATTCCTGGGCTCGTACAATTATTTAAGCTCATTTGATCGCTGCTGTTTCAGAGCCTTTCTCTGGCCAAAGCATGATCAAGCTGATGAACATCCTCTGGGGCTTTTATCTCCTTTGTTTCTTTTGTTTCAAATTAACACACAGCTTTAAGGACAAATTTTAAACTCGCATCTTACGTTTAATCTTTGTTTGTGTAGTTTAATATGTATTTTGTGGAAATATGTTTTTTAATATGTGTATTTTAAAGAATGTTTGTAGATGAATGTGAATTTTAGCGAAGTTGTAACCTACCTCGAACAGTGAGGCAAGGTGGGCAAGAAATAATAATAATAATAATAATAATAATAATAATAATAATAAGTAAAATTCTTGCATTTCCTATGGTTCTAGTGGCCTCATATACAGTTTGTACATATATATTGTGACATACACCTTTTAAACATTCAAATAGAGCAGGGGGAAAGCCTGCTCATAGAGAGGAAGGAGTGGAAGGTGCATGGAGTGAAGAGAGCACATTAGCACAGAAAAGGGAGGCCACTTTCACTCCTCTCAGTGCTCTTTTAGCATTGCAAGCTGTAATGAAATATATAGGCAGTCCCCAAGTTATGAACAAGATAGGTTTTGTAGGTTTGTTCTCATGCTGAATTTGTTTGCAAGTAAGTTGAACACTGAAAGTTCACCTTAATAGACAATGCAGGGGTTGGTTGAAAAGTTGTCAACTGGATGACCTTCTTGCCCTTCGGGCATACATTTCTGAATCATTACTGCACAGACATGACTGCGATATCAAGAAATCAGACCCCCAAATTATAAACTGTATAATAAAATGTACAGGCCGTCCCCAGGTTACGAATAAGATTTCTTCTTAAGTTGAATTTGTATGTAAGTCAGAACAAGTATATTTTTAAGTTGGGACAGGAAATAAAGAACAACACTCAGAAAACAGGGGAATTCCATACAGGAAACAATCAGGACTAGCTAACACCTCCCAACAAAGGATCCCTCAGGCAGGAAGCAGCCAGGCTTTGAAGCTGCAAGGCTACTTAATGCTAATCAAGGTGGCCAGTTGCAACAGTCACACTTGCCTCAAACAGACAAGAGTTCTTTTTCCCACCCTGGACATTATTCCACAGATACACACACACACACACTCCATTTGTGTTGTTTCCAATAGAGCTCACAACCTCTGTGGATGTCTGCCATAGATATGGCCAGACAGTCTGGAAAACGTATAGCAAACCATTACCTTTGTTTTATTATAGATAATAGTCAACTTTTCCTTAGAACAATATGTACCAAACTTAGAGAGCTGCCTGCTCAGACCAATTTGGGTGTATGAGATTAAAACCATGTCATCAGCATATAGTAGGATGGAAATTTTCTTGGGTCCTACTGCAGGTGGAAAAAATTCTGGACCTGAGAATGCAAGTATTATGTCATTCAGATATACAGAGCGTTGGTGCCAGGAGGCACTCTTGTATATAAGCTTTGGCTAGCATGGGGAAGGGTTAATGCCCCTGTGGGGTTTCCTTTGCTGTCTGTGCCCCCTTTTCAGGTTTCACCTCACTTTCTGTCCCTGTGATGATTGGATTTTGCAAAATGTGGCTTGTTGTTGAAACAAGGATTGGAGGTAAAGCTTCACTGGAGACCCCTTTTCTCCCTGTTAATAACTCTTTAGGGAGTAGATTTCCCTTCCTTCTGATAGATAGATTTCTCTCACTTCCTGTTGTCTCCACCCCATTTTAACTACTAATAGTTTGTAAATCAGATGAAAGTCAAGGGATGGCCTGTAAACATGTCTTTTTGTTCTGCACATGAATGTGCCAACAGGTGATGGGATATTATGCCCACATCCTATTCCCACGAAAGGCATACCATGAAGTTGGACACCAACAATTCCCCTGAGCTGGATGCAGACAACTCACATCCATTTTGTGTCTTGAATATTACTATGCCCATGTGATACCCTGTTTCCCTGGAAACAAGATCTACCTCAAAAATAAGCCCTAGCATGGTTTTTCAGGAGGCTCAAAATATAAGCCCTATTTCAAAAATAAGTCCTAGTTACAATTCATTAAAAAATCTAACATCTGATCCTGAAAATAAGCCCTAATGCATCTTTTGGACCCTGTCTTATTTCCAAGGAAACAGGGCCCTTGTTCTATTTCATGACTTCCCTTTATCAAGCACAAAGCATTTTCACGAGCAAAAACTAATCTTTGTCAGTTTGAGCAGAGAAATCTCACTGGAGTAGAATAACTACTTTCAAAGTAAGTACCGCACAATTAATCAGGAAATAACACTTTCAAACCAGGAACAGAATTTTTCAAATTTTGTTACATAGTGTAACAGTTGGTTTAGAGCAGGGGTTCTAAAACTAAGGCCCAGGGGCCAGATATGGCCCTCCAAGGGCATTTACCCGGCCCTTGCTCAGGATCAACCTAAGTCTGAAATGACTTGAAAGCACACAACAACAATCCTATTTCATCAGCCAAAAGCAGGCCCACACTTCCCATTGAAATACTAATAAGTTTATATTTGTTAACATTGTTCTTCATTTTAATTATTGTATTGTTTTTAAGTGTTTTTTGCACTACAAATAAGATATGTGCAGTGTGTTTAGGAATTCATTCATGTTATCTTCAAATTATAATCCGGCCCTCCAACAATTTGAGGGACTGTGACCTGGCCCTTTGTTTAAAAAGTTTGAGGACTCCTGGTTTAGAGAGTAGGGTTGTGCACGGAATCATTTTCCTTCATTTCATCCATTCTTTCGTTACTTTCATTACCTTCGGGACCATGTAACAGGAAGGCCCCTCCTGGTACAAAGATCAGTTCGACATGAAAGCATGTGGGAGTCGATCCTGGCTCCTCATCTACTTTTCATGATCACAAGTGCATGTGTAGCGTGCAGGCCCAGAAAGTGTGCGTGCCTGCTTGCAACTGAGTGCCTCCTCTGGAGTAAACTTGCCTCCTTGCCTTGGAGAGTGCATGTGGCGTGTAGGCCCAGAAAGCACGCAAGTCTGCTTGTAGCTGAGTGCCTCCTCTAGAGTAAGAAATAATTTTTAAGCCTCCTTGAAATGCACGCCAGCCTGCAGCTAAGCACCTCTCCTCTAGAGTAGAGCTTAAATGCCTAAAATTATGGGAAGGGGAGACTGAGACCCTCCCCCACCCCCATAATGGTCCAATAGAAAACGGATCTTTTGGCACTCCAGAGTGAAAACAGATACCTGCCTTTCTGATTTTGGGAGGCCCCCAAAAATGGTTCAGGGGCCCCACTGAAAGCCAGAACACGAAACGGGTCAAGGTTTACCCCCGAATGCACAACACTATTAGAGAGTACTAAGGGGAAAAGAAATCCAGCATTATAGACAGATGTTGCTAGGAACTCCCATGAATTATTTTAATGTAATCTTTCTTTTCACAAGAAAAACCACAGAAGGAACGAAAAAAGTTACCATTTACCCCAAAGCAGATTTTTCTTTCTCTTGACTTGTACAATGACATGAAACAATATGTACAAAAAAAATACATTTAAAATATTACTTTCAAAAAAATTCCTACAAACATACCTGGCACTACCTTTCTAGCAGTGGCAATTTGCCTTATATTAACATTTCAAAACATGAAACCAAACATCCACGTAAACATTATAAACCACTTTAAATTGGAAAAAAATATAACAAATTTGGTATCATTATACATTTAGTGCACATACAATCTGTCTCCCATCCTCAGATATTAAAAAGAGGGAAATCCCTGGACTGATAACTAGTTTGAAGTCTTGGTCAACATTGAGATTTTCAGTGGGTTGGATTTAAATTGGATGAATACATGCAGTGGAACATCAATGGCTGTTTTCTCAAGTTATGCTTGGGTTGCTTGTTTTTGCATTTTTCCAAATCTGAAATGTGAGTAGTATCACTGTTGGCCAGAATGTACATTTGATTTAGAATTGGCTCTCTCTCTGCTGTTTATTGCATTTTATACTCACAAAGAATGTATGCCAGACCAAGATGGTTTTGAGGCTGCTTTCAAAAACAACTTTAATGTGGATTAAAGGCTTGTCTACATGAAGTTTGTATCGAGAACAAACTGATCTGCTTCTCGTCTGTTCCAGTTCTGTGAACCATCATCCATAAAGATGCCATAGCAGCAATAACTTTGGGGCTCCTGCAGCAGTGCATCTACACTGTAGAATTAACACAGTTTGACACCACTTTAACAACTGTGGTTCAATACCATGGAATCCTGGGATATGTAGTTTGGCAAGAAAAAGACCCTGTAAAACTACAACTCTCATGGTTTCATAGCGTTGAGCCATGACCGTTAAAAATGGTATCAAACTGTGTTAATTGGGCCATATTTGGGTCAAAAAAAATAAAGGAAAGAGATGCCCAAACCCATCAGGAACTCATTACAAACAGTGAGTTACTTGCATTTAATTTATGCATCCAATCAGTAAGATGTAAACCATACTAACATTATAAACAATAAGGGATAGTTTTGGTCCTTTTGTTCCTGCACCTTCTTGGCAAATAGGGGGACCTTGGCTCAGTGTTGAGTCCACAAAAAAGTGGGCCACAATAAAAGGTTTCTGGAGGCCACTCCTTTTTTGCAATCTACAAATGGCATGCAGGATTTGCAGTGATTTGCAGAAAATGCTTCATCTGGATTCCACAAAAAAATAAAATAAATGGAAAATCGGTTTGTTTTGCAAGCCGTGCAAATGCTGATTTGTAATCAGTAATTATTTTTATTTCTATACCTGTTTTATATACTCAGATTTCTTGGCCTGTCTTTGGAAGCATGCTCAATGCTCACAAATGTGGAAACCTGCAAGTCAATCAAGAGCAGACTTTTGGATCTTGGTGTCCATAATCTGACTCATGCAGCAAAGACAGCATGTCCCCCTACCACATCATTGATTCCATGCAAGCAAAGAGTCATGGCAGAATATATTTGCATTTGGATTAATCCCACCCAGAGGAGAGCTTTGGCTACTACAAGATGTTATGTGTTGCCATCCGCTCTTCTGACTGGGAGATATAAGCATGTGGAATGTTCTTGTGGCTTGGTCTCTGTTGAAACGCTTTACCATTCTTTGTTTGCCTCAAATATGATAATATACAAATGAAATACAGGAATTCCATTTTTTCACAGCATTCTCAATGGCAACGATGTTATAAAATTCCATATCTTCTGAACAACTCTGATGCATTCTTTTGTGAGACTGTTGCAAATTTTATCCTTGAGATTAGTAACTTTTCAGTATGTTTTGTTTTTATCTGTGACTTCCTCTTGTTGTATATACCTGTAGTGTGATTTTGATGTTGGAGGCCAATCAAAGCTGTGTGTGGGTACATGGGGTCACGTTGTGAGCAGAAAAAGTCCTGTTCTAGAGAACCCTGAGTGGAGAAAATGAAACAAAAGTCAGGAGTGAAGGATAAGCACCGTCTGGTGATAGGAAGGCTCAGTCAATTTGGAGTAATGACAATGGCAACATCTGTTCTTATTCAGCCGCTGGCCTCTTCCCCACAGTGCCCACATTCCCAAGAAGACCCAGTATCTTATATCTCCATGTATAAGTCTAGACATCTTAATCCAAAAATCAATTAATCCATAAACCAAAGTAAGTACTTTTCCTTAACCTTTATCCCAAAAAGTGAGCATAGAAAGGCTGGAGCTTATACTGTCCCAGGAGAACCTAAAAGAAGAACCAATCCCGCTACTTCTTCTGCAATGATCACATAAAAATAAATCCATGAGTCGTATAAAAATCCATAATGTTGGCCCCTCAGCTTATACATGAGATTGACTTATACATGAGTATATATATGGTACTTATCAGTACCATAAACCAGGTTGCCCCCTCTTCAGCCCTCGAGAGCCTATAACTGCCTTGTAGCTGGCAGAAATTCAACAGGTCATACTTATTGTGTTGCAGCAGTTCCTATTGTACAGATAATCAAAGGCATTGATCTGATTGGGAAAAATGGGTCTTATCCAAGCAACAAAGGCTGGTTCAACTTATGCCCAAGTGCTTGGAAACTATATTAAATTCAGTGTGATTTGCTTCTGAGTAAAACAGTGCTTGGAAGCAGACTAGCTCCAAGTTAAATGCTTAAATCTCAGCTGAATTGAGCCTTCATTTTTAGACAAACACAATGAAATCAGGAGAAATTAAATCTCATTTCATGAAGAACTGTTGCATCTGTAGTTTGGGTGTCCAAAGATTATTTTTTGCAGTTGGATTGAAAATTCAGCACACATGGACTCAATATGTGGATCTGCTCACCCTCACATTCATATTATTTGGGAATAAGCCGTCCCCATGTCATTTGGGACAGCGAAAGAGATGAGATCAACCATGCACATTGGGTGCCCACTACTATTACACTCCACCTCAACCCTCAAGAAAGCTGTGTATAAGTCTATTTCCAGTTCCAGCACTCACTCACTTCAGTGGCATCTATATACCTGATTGCTTTCTGTCACATTTGGCTGAAAGGATCTGATGGGGAAAGGAAACCATACCCAAAACACAACTGAAAAAAACACCATCCTGTTGAAGCTCAGCCACAAAAGGGTTGAGATTTGTTTGCTTTGCAGAGTTTCTTGGCTGGACTGTGTTGCTGAAACCAAAGCAAAAGATGAGATGCCTTGTATGAGATGTCATTTCCCATTTTATTGGTGCCTGCAAGTTGAAACCCATGGGCCAGGTTTGCTTGAAAACCTGGGAAGCACTTGTTACTCTTGTTTGTGAAGGTGGTCAGTTGATGCTCCAGCAGAAAACAAAGACAATGGTGGTCCAATGTTAAATAGAAGAGAAGTCCAAAGCACAGGTAAGACTCGGTGTATCCCAGCATTACAACAAAGCAGCCCAGTTGTCTTCCTTCAGCCCTGACCTGGCTTATAGCTACACCAATAAGTGGAGAAAGCCACCAGGATGCTTAACAAGAGAGGAGAAACATTTTGTAAAGCTCTATCTTCGTAGTGGCAAGTTGAATATTTGTTGTGATGTGTCACGTTGATTTCAGCGTATGGTGAAAGCCACTTAGAGGTTATCTTGCTAGGCTTGCTCAGGTCTTGACCGGCTCAATCCACCTGCAACACGGTTTGCCCTCTTTCCTTTCTGCGGCCATCTGTATCCCTGACCATGTCACCAAGATGGGTATGTAGACCACTCACAGCATGGCTGCGGCAGGTGGTAAAGCAGAGGCTTGGCTTCCGCTTCCAGCTCCTCTCTTTGTGCTCTGGTTCAGTCCAGCGAAACTTCGCAAGGGTTCTGGTGAGCCTGGCGTGCCTCCTCGTAGACATGGCGGAAGTCCTTGTACCGGGGGGCACAGCTGAGCCAAGCCTCCCCGAAATGCAGCCAGCCAGTGAAGAGGAAGCTGCCAGGGCCCGGCTTCACCCCGCACCGCAGCAGGGTCCGGATACTGCCCACCGACTTCCCGTATTTGCCAACTGGCTGGAACAAGGCAAACTTCTGGCGGTGAATCCGAGTGGCGCTGACGCTGATGATGGACTCTTGTGATTCAACGTTGTTAGTCACCGTCCGGATATTTCCACGGATTACTGCAAAGGAAAGGAGTGAAAACAGCTGAAAGACTCATTCGTTTTTTACTTCACCATTGCAGAAAAAGACCTGATTATTACACTATGTACAATAACAACAAGTTTTATTCTATGCTTATTATATTCGTATTTGTATTTATTTATATTCCGCTTTCTCTCTCCATACAGAGACTCAAATTGGCTCACAACTACACAAAAGTCAGATTATTAAATACAATATAAAATACACCATTAAAATCCTATATAAATCATTAAAATGTGACATATATCAATGGCAAGATGTGCCCTTAAAATATTACATGAGATACTGCATGGACTTAGACCATGTTGAAAACCAGGTAAAACCAAGTAAATTCATCATTATTAAAAACTTAAGAAGGGAACACCTTGGACATAAACAGCCAGTATTAGTTAAAAGCATTCCCAGCAGATTACACTCTGTAACCAAATTTGAAAAAAAATGTGTTCCTTGTTTGAAAGTGTTATATATTTCCTGTTTAATTGTGCAGTCCTGACTTTGAAAGTAGTGGTTGGTTATTATACTTCAGAAACTTTGTTTTTGTGGCCACCACATTGGGAACAAACTTTGTTTTCTCGCCACTTTGGGTCTAAAACCAACCTTGTCAATATGGCACGTAATTCCTTGACGCCATGTGTATACAATATATACAAAACATAACTAAATTTCATGTTTTGACTTAGGTTTCATTCCCAAGATGACATCTCATTATTTGTAAGTATATATGTATACATATGCAAATATAGGTGTTCCGCAATAAAATAATTTAAAAATCCAAAACAATTCGGGTCCCAAGCTCTTTGGATAAGCAACACTCTATATTTCTAAGTGTACATAGAAGCAATTTAAATAACAACAACACTATGTAACAATATTTGAAAAAATCTGTTATTGGTTTGAAAGCCTTATTCCTGTTTAATTGTGCAGTCCTTACTTTGAAAAGAGTTCTTCTACTCCAGTAACTTTATTGTTTTTGTGGCTGCCATAAAAGCACCCACGATTCTAAGATGTATCACATTTTTAGAGATGTTTATATGGGGAGGGAGGGGCGGAAGGTGTGCCTTCTAATCAAAGAAATACAATTATACTGGTCACTATAAACCAATAAATGTATATCCTCTATATCTATCTATACACATAATAAAAGTGAAAATATGTATGTATGTGTGTGGCTGGGGTGTCCACTTACACAGACAAGTTTTTGCCTCCACAAACAGCTATAGCTCCCATGACTCAGGAGACACCAGAGACTTGTCCTCCAGTGACATTGCAGGTTATGGTGAGTGCCATGAACATGCCCAAAAGCCCTGCCAATGTCCTCCACAAACTGAGCCACAACTGAACATACTGAAGAGGTTTCACCATGACTTATAGAAGTTGTAGGTACTGGGGAGATTTCACCATGGTTTATAGAAGTTGTAGGCACTTCACCTCCAATCTAAGAGCTGCACTCTGAACTCCACCAAGGATGGTCCTGGAACTAACTTGGCATACAGAAACCCCCTGACCAGCAAAAAATACTGGAGGTCTTTGGGGGAAATTCACCTTGATTTGGGGGAGCTGTAGTTCACCTACAGCCAGAGAGCATTGTGAACCCAAACACTGATGGAACTGGACCAAACTAGGTACACATACCTGATATGCCAAAATTGCTGGAAGGGTTGAGCGGGGAGCTGACCTTACTTTCTGAGAGTTGTAGTACACCCATAACCAGAGAAACTGTGAACTCCACTGATAATGGACCTGGACCGAACTCGGCACACAGAACCCCCATGACTAACTAACTCAACCTACTAGAGTGGTTTGAGGGGACTGATTCACCATAGTGGGAAATGTAGTTTAACCTGCAGCCAGAGAGCACACTGAACCAATGATGCATCTAGAGCAAACTTGCCCAACATAACATGGCATGATGTGAGTTGTAGTTAATCCACAACCTTATGCATTTTGTACAATTTAAAAAAATGACTTTTCCAAATAACCCGGAAAATGCCAGATACCCAAGCTAGTTTTAAAATAAGTCTTGGTAACTGGAGGTTTCTGAATACATTTACTTCTGTACAGTTCCTGATCATAGACCTGGTCCTAATTCCCTAGTCCTCAAAGTACGAAAACCATGTGTGCATTTCTTTTTGCTAGACAATAAACTGACAGAGTCATCTCAGAGGAGAAATCCAAACACAAAAGGAACATATAAAGATGATTTTTGCACCTACAGACAGCAATAAAAACAATTTTGCTCAACTGATGCAGTGTTTGTATAGCAATGGGGCCAGTTTGGAAGGAGCCTTGCTGGGACCCAGCGATGAAAATGATTACTGTGGATTGTGCCAACTCTTTATCTAGTGCTTGTTGTGTCAATCAAAAATCCTATCTCTCAATCTGATATATACAAAAAATTCCCTAATTCTGCAGTCCCATTATCCCCCAGAATGCAACACACAGGAAAAGCAGACAAAAAGAAACACTAGTGATGCATTGCAATCGTCAAAGACCTTGGCCAGTATTTTTGGCACTAATGCTAATACATCTCTTAATCAGATCCAGACTAGACTGTTGTAATGTGATACAACATTAAATCTGGGTTGTAATACTGCTTTTTAAAAAAGCAGAAATGTGATTTAACCATTTGCATTGAAGTTTTATTGATGATTACGCTTTTACTGATTATGTTTATTGCCTGTAAACCATAGGACGAAACATATCAAAAATAAAGCGAAATAATGCACCATTGGGAGCTTCCAAAGGCATGCAATTAGTCCCAAAAATAATCAACAAAAGGGCTCCCGTGACACCAGTTTTATTCCTTCTTCAGGGGATATTTCTTTCTGCGTTAAGTTCAAAATCCTACTGCTTTGTAGAGGATACCCTAAGAGATCAAGGCTGGGATTTCTGAATGGCATCAATGCTGGAATTTCTCAGCAGATCCATTGCTTAGATTTCCAAGCAACTTCAGTTGCCAAACTGTTGCACACATGATGCTTCTTTACCAAAACAAACAAACAAGCAAACAAACCCCCAATGCCAAATTAGGCTTGAAAGGCAGTGTGCGGGCAATGTGTTGTTGAGGGCTTTCATAGATGGAATCACTGGGTTTCTGTTAGTTTTCTAGGCTGTCTGGTCATGTTTCAGCAGCATTCTCTCCTGGTTTCACCTGCATATGAGGCAAGTGGAGTGTATATATATCCCTGTGGAATAATGTCCAGTGTGGGAGAAAGGACCTTTGTCTGTTTGAAGCAAGTGTGAATGGTGCAATTGGCAAGCTTGATTAGCATTGAGCAGCCTTGCAGCTGCAAAGTCAATCACTGAGGGTATTTGCATAGAGGGAGCCTGTCTATTGTTTGCCTGGAGGCATCCTTGGTTCACCTGGCACTTGACTGTTTGCTCTCTGGAGTTCCCCTGTTTATGAGTGGTGTTCTTTATTTACTGTCTTGATTCTGGCGTTTTTTAAATACTGATAGCCAGATTTTGTTCATTTTCTGGTTGGTTCATTAAGTGCTCTGCTATGGTTGACTTCTCAGCTTGAATTAGTCTGCAGTGCCTTTTATGTTCCTTTATTCGTGTTTGGGGAACATTGCGTTTGGTGGTCCCTATGTAGACTTGTCCACATCTGCATGGTATACAGTAGGTTCCTGCAGTTGTTGGAGAATCCCTCCTGTCCTTTGCTGAGTGCACCATTTGTTGAATTTTCTTGGTGGGTCTGTAGATTGTGTGTCTTCATCAGCTTCCCTATGTGGCCAGTAGTTCCCTTGATGTATGGTAAGAACACTTTCCCTCTGCGTGGGTCTTTGTCTCGACTCTCCTGGCTTGTTGTTGTTCTTGCAGCTTGGCCATATAGAACTGTGGGGACAATTCTGTATTCCTGATTGAACATCCCAAGCAGGATCTGGTCAATTCTATGCACAGGGATTGTGTCATTGGCGAGCCTTGCATTTGGGCCTCCTCAAACCAATCAGCACAAGCCCCCTCCCAAGATCCATGGTCTGATCCCACCAGGCAAACCCTTTTGTTGTTCTCGTGTAGGACTTCTTGGTTGCTGTGGCAACCTCAGGACGGGCAGACGCCAGACCCCCAGACCCCTTTCTTCCATTGTTTGGAAAGCAGCAAAGCAAAGGCTAACAGCGCATGCAGCCAGGGCAGTAATTGGCAACTAACTGCCCACTGTGCGGACAGGCAGCGTCCAGGGGGATAAAATGGGGGGGGGGGGAGAGGGGGAATGCAATGCCAGCTGGGAAACTAATCGTCAGCTACTTTACCAGCAAGGAGGGAGCCCCAAAGCGACATGTGTAGCTTTCAGGCCTCTGTGTGTGTATGCAGAGGTGTGTGCATGCATCGCACATACAACTGAAGAGAGGACATGGAAAAGATGCCGCTGAATGTAATGAAATCTAAAATGTTTTGACTTTGACTTAAACTCCATTTAAGAAATCTGAAATAACACGTGAAGCATGTTGATTCAGTTTGTGCTTAAAAAGTGCATGAACTAACGAGTCACCTTTTGCAATAAGAGAAATCAGCACAACCACAGTCATATTAAAGAGTCGCAAAGCAAACTGACACTTGTAATGAGGAATAAAACTGTGTGTTACAATCCAAACCAAAGCTAAATAGAATCAACCTTGCTCTCAGTTTGAATGGAGTGATTCCTCTCCCAAGGATCTCTTGCTGAAAGTAGAATACTGGAGAGCTGCACAGAATGGCTTCTCAAGATTGCATTTTGCATGTTCTGACTGTAACTTTGATTGTCCTTAACCATTTGCCATGCTGGCTGAGTGTGATGGGAGTTACAATCCAATACATTTTCAGGGCTGCCGGGTTAGGAGAAGCTGGTCCAGTATATCTCTCTTGAAAGGTACAAGAAGAAGGACACAACTATTCCACCTTGGAACTGAGATAGGCAACCCAGGCAGTTTTAATGACAAATGTTAAACTTCCACTTTATGTTTAACTTTTGTGTATTTGAATATGCATTTTATGGAAATATGTTTTCATATGTGTATTCTATGGAGTGCTTTTAAATGATTGTGAGTTTTGATTATGCGTTTTAGCAGTGTTGTAACCCACCTTGAACAGAGGAGAGACAACTAATAAATAAAATTATTGTTGTTGTTGCTGCTGCTGCTGTTGTTGCTTTGTTATTACAACTACTACGACTAGCTCGGTTGCCCAGTGTTGCCCGAGCTATTTGAAAAAAGTTATTTTTTTATTTTAACAAGTGGGTGCACTACAACTCACATCATGCCAGGTTAACCCCCTGAAACTCCACCAGTAGTTAAAGTTTGTCATGTTGGGCAAGTTTGCTCTAGATGCCTCATCGGTGGGGTTCAGTATGATCTCTGGCTGCAGGATAAACTACAGCTCCCACCATGGTGGGTCAATTCCCTCAAACCCCTCCAGTAAGTTAAGCTGGTCATAGGGGTTTTGAGTGCCAAGTTTGGTCCAGTTCTGTCAATGGTGGTGGTCAGAATGTCTCTGGATGCAAGTGAACTACAACTTCCATAAATAAAGGTCAGTTCCCCCAAACCCCTCCAGTGTTTTCAGTCGGTCATGGGGGTTCTGTGTGCCACGTTAGGTTCAGGGCCACCATTGATGCGGTCCAGAGTGCTCTTTGATTGCAGGTGAACTATAAATCCCAGTACCTACAAGGCTCTAAATCCAAGTGAATTCTCCCCAAACCTCTCAATTATTTTTCTTTGGTCATGGGGGTTCTGTGTGCCAAATGTGGCCCAGGTCCATCATCAGTGGGGGTCACAGTTCTCTGACTTGATGCAGGGTGAACTACAACTTCCATCATGTGGAGCCAGTCCCCCAAACCACTCCAGTATGTTTAGTTCCTTATTAGTTCTACTCTGTTGGACAGATAGAGATGAAAATAGTAGTAAAGAGTTAAGGAGATGCAGTGAGCAGGGTCCTGTAAATTCCACACCAATGGAGAGAATAAGAAACACTGGGATGTCTGTGGTGGAGGAAACACATAACATCTAGGATGAAATTGTCCAAGTATTCCTTGGGTGGTGGGCAGTATGGTGTTTGGGGAGGGCATTGGCAGGGGTTGGGCTACATGCTCATGGTGCTTGCTATAACCTGAAATGTCATTGGAGGGAGGGCTTTTGATGGCTCCTCAGCACTGTGGGTTAAAGCTGTTTGTGGAAGCAGGAGCCTGTCTGTGGAAGTGGGCAGCCCAGCCACATACACACATACATATTTTCACTTTTATTATGTGTATAGATTGTTATATGGGGTTAAGGGGCTGCATTAGCCCCCTCAGGGGACCTTGAAGAATTGGCACCACAACCCCATTGCAAAATAATATCAACAGCAACAACAACAACAATAATAATAACAACCAATTTTTTTTGCACCCAAATGCCGCCACCATTCTCTAGAGTGAATAGGAGGGGTAGTTTTCGCCATGCCACACCCAACCATTATAGATATAGGATAAACTGATTTTCAACATACCGGGGATGGTAATGCTGGGGATGATATACTTACCAAAATCACTAGTGCAAACAGCCATCAGGATTTCCGTGTTGTTACACGGCCGGCAACTCCCTGAATCTTCCAAAAGAAAAAGTAAAAGAAGTCAACTACAGAGTGTCCACACATATAACATGTCTTTTCTGGGAGGCAAGGAGGAGGAGGCATGAGGAAAGAGGAGAAGGCCAGATTGTGCCAGTTGATTTGGATCTGAAAACACTGCGTGGATGTGCATACTTTGCATCTAATATCCTACAACCTGCTGCATCAATGTTTCATTATATATCTGTCTATACACATAATAAAAGTGAAAATATGTATGTATGTGTGTGGCTGGGGTGTCCACTTACACAGAAAAGCTCCTGCCTTCACAATCAGCTATAGCTCCCATGACTCAGGAGACACTAAAGGGCCTCCCTCTAATGACATTGCAGGTTATAGTGAGCACCATGAACATGTGCAAAAGCCCTACCAATGTTCTCCACAAAAATCATACTGCCCACCATCCAAGTGAAGGCTTTCATACGGGGACAATTTCATCCTAGATTTCATGTGTTTCCTCCACCACAGACATTCCAGTGTTTTTTGGTGTGGAATTTGCATGATCCCACCCACTGCCTCTCCCTTAACCCTTTCCTACTTTTTTTCTATGTATTACCGCAAACAGAGGACTGGAACAGCAACTGAACATACTAGAGAGGTCTGGGAAGATTTCACAATGATTTATAGAAGTTATGGGTATTGGGATGTATAGTTCACCTCCAATCTTAGAGCTGCACTCTGAACTCCACCTAGGATGGTCCTGGAACTAACTTGACACACAAAGATCCCTTGACCAGCAAATAATACTGGAGGTCTTTGGGGGAATTTCACCTTGATTTGGGGGAGTTGTAGTTCACCTACATCCAGAGAGCAGTGTGAACCCAAACACCTATGGATCTGGACCAAACTTGGCACACAAACCTGATATGCCAAAATTTGATTACTGGAGGGGTTTGGGGGGGGGGGAGTGTCCTTCCTTTCTGGGAGTTGTAGTTCACCCACAACCAGAGAAACTGACCTCCACCGATGATGGACCTGGTCCAAACTTGGCACACAAAGCCCCCATGACTAACTCAACCTACTGGAGGTGTTTGAAGGGATTGATTCACCATAGTGGGAGTTTTAGTTTATCCTACAGCCAGAGAACACACTGAACGCCACCAATGATGCATCCAGAGTAAACTTGTCCAACAAACTTTAACTCCTGATGGAGTTTCTCAGGGTTAACCTGGCATGATGGGAGTTGTAGTTTCTCAGAGTTAACCTGGCATAATGGGAGTTGTAGTTCACCCACAACCTTACACTTTTTGTACAATTAAAAATTGACTTTATCAAGTAACCCGGGCAGCAGAGAGTACCCAAGCTAGTATATATATAAGTATTGGATCTCTAACTCTTAGAATCATAGAGTTGGAAGAGACCTCATGGGCCATCCAGTCCAACCCCCTTCTGCCAAGAAGCAGGACAATCACATTCAAAGCATCTCTAATAGAGGTTCATCCAGCCTCTGCTTAAGGAGGAGCCTTATTACAGCAGTTAACTTTAAAAATTTGGCAATTTGTCTCAAGATTTCTGTTCGGTTGGAAGAATAAGCTCCTCTTCCCCCATTATTCAAGCACTTTCCATCAGGACCAATAGGAGCAATAGGCATTTTTAGATGGGTACCAGACTCCTATTGTTCTAGCAAGATCTATTGAGGATACCTTGCTCCCATTGTTTTCTGGCATCCAGATCTTTCCCATTTCTAGCAATGCCCCTGAATTGACATTATTGTCCAGCATTGCTTGAACCCCTGTTACCCTCTCCATGTCTTGATTTTGAAATGGGCCCACTTTTAATCAATGTACCATTGAACTTGGAGTCAATCTTGTCTTCAGCTTTGGCAGAACCATTCATTTCCCTGGCTCAGATTCTAATCTAAGATTTGAAGATGATCACTCATCCAAGGGTGCATCAGAGCTGGCCTTGCTTAGATTCCAAATCAGAAAAGTCATACCAAAACTCTGATCCCATGTGTTCAAGAACACCAAAACGTACAAGCAAGAAGGCACAAACATCTATAGAAAGAGCTGACATGGTTGCTTTTGAATTTAAAAATGTCTCAGTCTTATGGGAACGGCCTTCTCTTAGCCTCATGACCAAACTGGAGGATGCACAGCCACAAAAAGGCCAGTTGACCTACAACTTCCAATTATTTGTTATTGGATTTAATTGAAATGTTTACAGTGGGCCCTCTGTATCCATTGGAGACTGGTTCCTGTAGATAGAAAAAAACTGTGGATGCTCAAGTCCCGTATAATACAAAAATTATGTCCCTTATACAAAATTGCAAAATCAAGGTTGACAGAAGGGGGTTGGACCAGATGGCCCTTGGAGTCCCCTCCAATTTTATATGTGTAATGTTAATATTATTAATAATAATCTTCTTCTTCCTTGCATGAATTCACAGGGTCCACTTATTTGCTTTTTGATCTTTACTTGTTCCTGCCTGGCAGAAGGGGGTTGGGCTAGATGGCCTCTTGGAGTCCCTCCCAACTCTAGGAGTCTAATATTACTGATGATGATATAGTGGCAATTCTGTCTTCCTGCTTGGCAGAAGGGGGTTGGACCGGATGGCCCTTGTGGGTCTCTATGAGCCAGAGGCCCCTTCTACACTGCCAGATAAAATCCAGATGATCTGCTTTGAACTGGATTCTATGACAGTGTAGACTCAAATATTCCAGTTCAAAGCAGATCCTGATATACAGGACAGTGTAGACGCAACCTTAGTATAGCACCAGCTGAACATGAATGAAGAGTGTGATGAGGCAGCAGCTAAAAAGGATGTTTGGATGGAAAATTTGTTTAATTTTTGATAATGTGCTATTACTTTTAATGTAGATGTGGGTATGTTTTGGATCTGGATGGAGTTGGGTAATTTGTCCTGGTCTAGTGTTTATGGCATTGAATGTTTGCTAATATTTGTTGTTAACTAGCCTGTGTCCCCTTGGGGAGATACGGTGGCATATATATAAAGTTTTATTGTTATTATTATTATTATTATTATTATTATTATTATTAGTCATGGTCCTACTGTGTTCTGCTTTGGTCTGACCTCACCAAAGAAATTAAAGAAAGATATTGACTCTCATGCCCCTTCTACACTGCCAGACAAAGTGGATTAATTTGGGTTATATGGCAGTGTAAAAGAGGCCTCAGTCAAGGAGGTTTGATCCCAGCGTACACACATTCAGCAGCCAAGCCCACGCACCTTCTGTGCTAAGATTTCCGGATGGCCAGGAGAAGCGAGAGTCCCAGTTTCCCCGTAGCTCGTAGCGGAAGGCGGCAATGCGGCGGCTGATGTCCTGGTGCAGAGTGGACTGGAGGAAGAGGGCCACCTTCTCCTTGGGCAGCCAGTTGAAGCAGCGCACCTTGGGCTGCGCAGCAGCAGCCTCAGCCTCAGAGAGGAGGAGCTCCAGCACCCCGTCCCTCTCCAAGTAGATCTGGGCCCCCCGGAAACCGAGGGCGGACTTGACGCAGGCCGTGAAACGCCTGGGGCTCTCTCTGCCGCTGGCGCCAGTGGGCAGGCGAGGGAAGAGGCTCAGGCGCAAGGCTCCCGATGGGTAGAGCCACTCCAGTGACCCTTCAGCGCAGTGCAAGGAGATCTGCTCCACGCTGCCGGCTTCTTGGGAGAGACCGCTGCAAGGTAGCATCCAAGAGAGTTAGCAGAAGAATAGAATAGCTTTATTTGTCATTGTGCTATTGCTTAGCAAAATTACATGCCTTCACCCACAAACACCACAAAACAACACACCCATTCCTCTACACTCACACTGCCACCACACAGCACCCAATGCCACATCCATGTGAAGTCATAGAGTTCAACATAGCCACGGCTCTATGATAAGAACTATCCTTCAGTCTGTTTGTCCCTCTCTTTGTGACCCTGTATCGTCTGCCAGAGAGCAATAATTCAAAAAAAAGAATATGCTGGTGAGATGGATCCCTAAGAATGCTCTGAGCTTTCTTAAGGCAGCAGGAATTATAAAGTTCTTCCAAAGAGGGGAGAAAGAGGGCAACCCATGATTCTCTGTGCAGAAGTGGTGACCCTTTGGAGTGCCTTCCTATCTGCCACTGTGCAATTACCAAACCATCCACAGATGCAGTTGGTTAAGACACTGTCTATAGAAGGCGCATAGGCTTGATACCAATGGTACTATCGCAGGCATGGGCCACCTACAGCCCTTCCTCCAGGTGTTTTGGACTCCCAACTACAATTCCTAACAGCCTGCAGTCTGGAACGTTCTTGGTCCTAACCTTTTCTTTATACTGGAGGGAGGGTCAAAGTTGGCCCATGGCTGGTATAGAAGCACAGAACTGGAAGGAACCACAGAGGCCACCCAGCCTGACTGGCATTAATGTCAGACTGCCCTTCAGGTAGAGAGGGCGGTCTAGAAATTTATTATTATTATTATTATTATTATTATTATGCCACCTCATTGGATGTGTTGCAATAGCAGATTCCCAGATTTAGTTTAGTGCAGGCACAGGCCAACATCAGCCCTCCCTCCAGGTGTTTTGGACTTCAACTCCCACAATTCCTAGCAGCAAAACACCTGGAGGGCTGAGGTTTCCCATGTTAGGAATTATGGGAATTGAAGTCCAAAACACCTGGAGGGCTGAAGTTTGCCTATATTAGGAATTGTGAGAATTGAAGTCCAAAACACCTGGAGGGCCGAAGTTTGCCCATGATAGAAATTATGAGAGTTGAAAGGGCCAAGGTTTGCCCATGTTAGGAAATGTGGAAGTTGGAAGTCCAAAACACCTGGAGGGAGGGCCGAAGTTGGCCCATGCCTGATATAGAAGCACAGACCTGGAAGGAACCACAAAGGCCATCCAGACTGCCAGCCATTCAGGTCAGACTGCCCTGCCTTCCTCCTCATCCATGGAAAGGGGGATGCAATGCAGTCCAGATGTCTGGAGGTACATGGTCGGATCTTTCCCTTCTGCAGCCACATGACTCATGCATGGCATTCTGCAAGGGATGACTATAGCGGAGAAACAGATGTCCTGGCTATGGCACAGACACACATACATATACACCCAGATCACCCTCAAAGCGTCCCATGCATTCATAAAGATCCTTCCCACAGAGACAAGGGCATTATGACACATCCGTGATTAGCCATGGTCTCTAAGAATGAGCCAAGGATTCTTGCCCTCCACATTGGTGTTTTTTCCCACTTTTGTGGATTCAATTACATGCAGTCTCTGAGTTGCAAATACTCAACTTACGAATAGTTTCTATTTAAGAACGAGGCTGGACTGGATGGCCTTTTGGGGTCCCTTCCAAATCTATGATACTATATCCATCTCAGGTATGTAGATATAGGCTGTCCCAAGTTACAAACACCTGACTTACAAACATTTCTTCATTAAGAACAGGGCAAGACAACAGGAAGTGAGAGAAATTTCCCCCTCAGAAGGAAGGGAAATCCTCTCCTGGAAGAGTTATTAGCAGGGAGAAAGGGGTCTCCACTGAAGCTTGATCCTCAATCCTTGTTTCCACCTTTTGCAAAATCCTATTCTCACAGGGACAGAAAGCGAGGTGACATCTTCCGAACAGCAACTGGAGTTGCACTTCATAAATGTCCCTGTTTATAACTTGGGGGCTGCATGGATTCATACATTGAATGAGAACGCTGTCTTTAGCAATCTGGAGGTCCTGCAATGCAACTTTATGCTCAACATCCAGAGGTCCTGGAGAAAAGAGAAGAAAGAGGGAGGGGGAGGAAAGAAAGATAGAAAGAAGGAAAGAAAGAAAAAGAAGGAAGGAGGGAGGGAAAGGAAAGAAAGAAGGGAAGGAGGAAGGGGGGAAAAGAAAAGAAGGAAGAGGGGAAAGGATGGGAAGTACCTGGAGGTAAACCTGGAAGCTACAAGGCGTAGAGCTTTTTCGACCTATGCTCCAATTCTGTGGAACTCATTGCCTCCATACATTAGAGCAATGTCGGAGTTGCGACCTTTTGTAAAGGCACTCAAGACTTGGCTGTTTGGTTGTGCATTTAAGTAATCAGATCTAATTTGCCAAATAGTCACTGTTGAATGTTTTTCTGTTGAATGTTTTTATATTGTGTAAATGCTATTTTAGACTGTAAGTCACTCGGAGCACCTTGGTGGAGAGTGACTAATTAAGAAATAAAGTAAAGTGAAGTGAAGTGAAAAGGAAAGGAAAGGAAAGAAAGAAGAAGGAAGGATGGGATGCAAGGAAGGAGAACAGGAGGGGAGGGGAAGAAAGAGAAGGAAGGAAAAGGAAAAGGAGGGAGGAAGAGGCAAGAAGAAAGGAAGGAAAGGGAAAGAGAAGAAAGGGTAAGAATGAAAGAAAGAGAAGCAAGAGACAGACAGAGAGAAAGAAAGAAAAAGAAAAAAGAAAAAGAAGGGGAAGAACAAATGCAGGAAAAGAAAAGAAGGAAGGAAAAGCAAAGAAGTAGGAAGGAATGCAAGGAATGCAAGGAAGGAAGGAGAACAGGAGGAAAGGGGGAGAATGAAAGAAGGAGAAAAAGAAGGGGAAAGAAGTAACAAGAAGAAAGGAAGGAAGGAAAGAAGGAAGGAAGGAAGGAAGGGAGGAAGAAGAAAAGAAGGAAGGAAAGATGAGGAAAGAAAAGAAGGAGGGAGGAAGAAAGAGAGGAAAGGGGAAGGAGGGAGGGAAGGGAAAGAAAGAAAAAGAAGGAAGGGGAGGGGAGGAAGGAAAGAAAGGGAAGCAAGAAGAAAAAAGGAGGGGAGACAGAGGAAAGGCGAGGAGGGGGAAGGAAGAAAGAGATGGGAGGTAAGGAGAAAGAAAGTAGAGGGGAAGAAAAAAGGAAAGAAGAGAAAAAGAAGAGGAAAGAAAAGAAGGGAGAGAATGGATGTTTAATGATAATTAAAGAGAGGTGGTAATAAGTAAAAGAAGATGGGGAACAAGGAAAGTGTAAAGGAGTAGAATCGGATGAAGAATTGCTTTAGAATGATAATGGAGTAAATTATGTAATATGTGGAGAGGAGAGATAACTAAGCAAGAGTTATTCCAGTATATTAAGGAATGGATAACTAGGAGGAAAGGCACTAAAGAAATAATGAAATGGATGGAAATATAATAGTTATAATAAGAAAGAATATTGATCTATATTTTAAATATTAACCCCCAACCTGGCAGACAAGATATGATGTTTATTATGAAATGTCTGGAGTAGTTATTATTTTATTTTAAGGAGTAACATGATGGAATTGTGTAATGGGAAGAAAGAAGCTGAGAGAATAATGGCGTCAAGGCAAGGGAAGAGGAAAGGCAGGCCGGCCCAAGGGCAGGGGTCCTACCTGCCCCTCCAGCTGCACTGGTCCTCGGAGTAGTGCCCGAGGGTGGCGTCGAGGAGGAGGAGGAGGAAGAAGAAGACCACCAAGAGCATCTTGGAGCCGAGCCGCTCTCCGCCGGGCCAAAGGCTCGCCAAGCGGGGTCAGGCGGGGGGCGCGGGGCCCTTTCGCGTCCGATCTCCCTCGGCCATGTCTCTCTCCTTCCTTCCTTCCTTCCTTCCTTCCTTCCTTCCTTCCTTCCTTCCTTCCTTCCTCTCCTTCCTTCCTTCCTTCCTTCCTTCCTTCCTTCCTTCCTTCCTTCCTTCCTTCCTTCCTTCCTTCCTTCCTTCCTTCCGTCCTCCGAGGGAAGAAGATGCGGAGGAGGAAGAGAAGGATGCGAAAGGATGCGAGGCTGGCCAAAGTTTGGAAAGAGTTTGGAAAGGAGGAGGAGGAGGAGAGAGTAGGATGCTCCCTTCTCCCAATCACATCCCGCTGCGGGGACTTTCTGCCAATGGAGGCGCAGGACCGAAGGAGGGGGCGGGGCCTGGGCAACCAAGCGGGGGGGGGGGGGCTTCTGCAGGAGAACAATGTGTTTCTGATGGTCTTGCTGCTTCTTTTTCTTTCAAACGGAGGCGGATTTTTCAAACCGTTCGGGTCCAGATGTGAGGCTCACTTTTCTATGTATTTATTTTTACAATGGCTCTCCAACTTCTGGGCTGCATCTCCACCCACACGGTGAAGTTGATGCAGTTTCACACCACTTTGACTAACTGCCCTAGCTCAATGCTAGATGGAATCCGAAGTTTTGACAAGGTCTTCCGCCTCCAGTACCAAGTAGGGCTGGTGGATGACCCACAAAACTACACATCCCATCTGGGATAAAGACAAATAATAATAACAATAAGAAGAAGAAGAAGAAGAAGAAGGAGAAGAAGAAGAAGTGGTATAGACTCTGCAAGGAAGCAGATGAAACAATAGATCACATCCTCAGCTGCCGCAAGAAGATCGCACAGACAGACTACAAGCAGAGGCACAACGCCGTTGCTGAGATGATTCATTGGAACTTGTGCCACGAACACCATCTGCCTGCCACAAAGAACTGGTGGGATCACAAGCCTGAAAATGAACATGTCAAGCTACTCTAGGACTTTCAGATTCAGACAGAGTTTTGGAGCACAATACTCCTGACCTCACAATTGTATTAAAAAACAAAGTATGGATCGTTGATATTGCAATCCCAGGTGACAGCAGGATTGAAGAGAAACAACTGGAAAAGCTGACACGATATGAGGATTTAAAGATCGAATTGCAAAGACTCTGGCACAAGCCAGTCAAGGTGGTCCCAGTGGTGATCGGCACACTGGGTGCAGTGCCTAAAGACCTTGGCCTGCACTTAAACACAATCGGCGCTGACAAAATTACCATCTGCCAGCTGCAGAAGGCCACCTTACTGGGATCTGCACGCATTATTCGCTGATACATCACACAGTCCTAGACACTTGGGAAGTGTCCAGTGTGTGATCCAATGCAGCAGGAAGTTCTTCCTAATGTTCAGATGGAATCTCTTTTCTTGTAGTTTGAAGCCATTGTTCCATTGTGTCTTAGTCTCCAGGGCAGCAGAAAACAAGCTTGCTCCCTCCTCCCTATGACTTCCTCTCATGTATTTATACATGGCTATCACGTCTCCTCTCAGCCTTCTCTTCTTCAGGCTAAACATGCCCAGCTCTTTAAGCCGCTCCTCATAGGGCTTGTTCTCCAGACCCTTGATCGTTTAAGTTGCCCTCCTCTGGACACATTCCAGCTTGTCAATGTCTCTCTTGAATTGTGGTGCCCAGAATTGGACACAATATTCCAGGTGTGGTCTGACCAAGGCAGAATAGAGGTAGCATGACTTCCTGGACCTAGACACTAGACTCCTATTGATGCAGGCCAAAATCCCATTGGCTTTTTTTGCTGCCGCATCATATTGTTGGCTCATGTTTAACTTGTTGTCCACGAAGACCCCAAGATCTTTTTAACACTTACTGCTTTCTGTTGAAACACTTCACCATTCTTTAAGTGATTTTAATGTTTGTATATTTTTATGGTTTTATGTCCCGGCATTTAATGTTTGCCGTACATATGTTGTGCTCTGCCCTGAGTCCCCTGCGGGGTGAGAAGGGCGGAATATAAATGTTTTAAATAATAAATAAATTTGTTTGTTTGCCCCAAATAGAGGAATGGAATACAGGAATTTCATTTTTCACAGTGTTCTCAATGGTAAGGTTGTGATGAAATTATGTATCTTCTGAACAACTTTGTTGCTTTCTTTTGTGAGACTGTTGCAGATTTTATCCCTGAGATGAGTAACTTTTAAGTATGTTTTTTTTTTTATCTGTGACTTCCTCTCATTGTATATATCTGTGTTGTATGCCAATTTTGTTGTTGTATGCCGATAAAGGCTATGCGCGTGAACTCAATACTGTATTTTCGAACTGATTAGCTGCAAAGTACGTGCAGTTAGCTGGCAGTGTTCCGATAGTGGTTCAATCAGAGACTTGTTAGCAGGAGAAGGAAGAATAGGGGAAAATAATAAAAATAATAATCTCAGGACAAAACTGGACTTCTCCTGTTATTATATTATCTTCACCGGCATCCCATAGAAACCCACCGCAAGCTGCCCATCCCCCAACCAGCCTTCTTCTCCTCCAGACACCATTGTCCCGGGTCTCACAAACCCTGTCATTAATTACGTTTCCATCGGAGGAAGAGTGACGGCCCGCCAAAATGTTTGAAATAAATACAGGACAATCGGGAGGCAGTGATACAGGCTCCGGGACAAAGGAGGGAAGGAGGGTGGCCTGGAATGAAAATGAGGGGCAAAAGGAGGGTGGAAAGGAAGGGATGGGGACTTAATCGGCCCAAGAGACAGACCGCCTGCCCTTTGGATGCAAGCCCAAGCAAGGAGAAGGCAATCTGTTGGAATGCCTGCACAGGGAATGTAAGCCAGAAAGTCCTATCATTGCTGAAAACAGTAGTTTTACGGTACCCAGCAATGACCAATTTTGGTATGTGGTAGGGATAAATATTTAAACTACATACTCACACAGCCTTTATTGGCATAACATAATTGGTATATCACAAAATCACCAACACAGGCCTATACAAAAAGAAGTCACAGATAAAAAGGAAAGCATAATTAAGAGTTATTATTATTATTATTATTATTTACATCCCGCCTTTCTCCCCATGGGTGGGGACTCTAGCTGGCTAACAATCCACACTAGACAAGTTTAAAAAGTGCAGTACAAAAGTTGGGGGGGGGGGGGAACCCAATTAAATCGTAACAGTGTGGTAAAAACAGAATTAAAAATACAATAACTACACCAAAATGACATTTAAAGCTCATATATCCAGATTAATAAAATTTGCAGCAGACTCACAAAAGAACACATCAGAGTTGTTCAGAAAACATGGAATTTTATAACCCCCCTTGCCACTGAGAACACTGTTCTAATGTGTCATCCATATATTATCGTATTTTGGCAAACAAACAAAGAATGGTGAAGTGTTTAACAGAGACCAAGACCCCTTCTACACTGCCATATAAAATCCAGATTAACTGCTTTGAACCGGATTATCTGGCAATGTAGACTCATATAAAACAGGCAATGTGAATTATCTGTTTTGATAATCTGGATTATATAGCAGTATAGAAGGGGTCAAACAGTGCTTCCAAAGGCAGGCCAATATTTGAAGTAGTCATTGTTTTCTTTGTTTGTTTTTTTATGAATGATTCCAATCAAAAAGGCATAAGGATGTGGGTGAACTACAGCTCCCAACATTGTGGGTTAACGCCAACCCCACTATGCCATTAAATTGGTCATGATCAATGTGTATGCTAAGTTTGCTCCAGATAGTTACATTGTCAGTTGGGTTCACTGTGCTCTATTAATATGGGTGAACTACAACACCCATCATGCTGGATCAATTCCTTCCAAACCCTGCTGAAAAGAAGCAGGGGAGCAGAGGGATGATTTATTGTTGCCACCAATTTGAAAGGAACCAGTATTCAGGAGATTTTACCCCAGTTCCCAATTTTAAAAGAACTGGCCGATTTGCAATGGAGGTTGCCGATTAGGAACCAAATTTACCATCAAGTTGGAAGGGAGGCTGTTCAATTGCACCTCCTCCTTTATTAAGAAAGTAATAACTTAGTAGTAATTATACTGTATATACTGTAGCGTGACTGGAGAGAAGAATGTAGATTTATTTGGTTACTTTTCCCTGCGTTTCTGCCACCATGAGGTAAGTTGTAATATTGTGAGAAATGGCACTTTGGACACAGAATAGACGGAGCTGAGGCAATCTTCAAATAAAAGTTAACAATTTTATTAAGTACACAGCGTGTGGTTGCAAGACGTAACTTTTCCTTGTTGCACTTGGAATAATACTTGTAACTTTAACAGTTCATTCTTTCAAGTAACACAGTATCTTTCTGACGTAGAGCACTTGTTTCAGACAAAGTTTCAATACAGGGATGTTTCCCTTATTTGATCCTCCCTAGATCAAATACTAAGTAAACTATTCTTTAGCCTCTCCTTAGACTAAAAGAATACCAGCTATGTTTCACCATTCGGCTGCACTAGCCTGAGAAACTTCCAATAGCCAAACCCAGCTTTTCAAAGCCTCAAAGCTTTGCTTCACAAGTCACTCAGCCACCTTTCCTTTCCTTCTCTCCCAACTCCTAACTCCTCACTCCTCTGAACCTAACTCCTAACTCTCCTGAACCTAACCCGGACTGTTCACACCTCAAAACCTAAACCCTAACTGATTTTTAACTGTCGTTTTTTCAAACTCTCCCCTCTAAGCTCCTCCCACTTCCCTCTCTCCTGCATCGGTCTCCATGGCAACGCACATGGAGGACTCCTCTGACTTAGGCCGCTCCAGCATTACTGCAGCCAATCTAAACACAATTACAGTTAAAATCATACAATTTATAATCAACTCCTGTACTCAAAGCTCCCTCCTCTTCTGTTTACATGGGATCTGTGATACAGTTAAAATCATACAATTTATAATCAACTCCTATACACCTGCCCTATTTAAAGTGGGTCATGTTGGGTATATGTGCCAAGTTTGGTCCAGATCTGTTGTTGACAGGAGTTACAGGGCTTTTGGGATGTGGGAATCATCTTGGAAATCATGCACAAACATAAATGCATGTTGTTGTTCATTCGTTCAGTTGTTTCCGACTCTTTGTGACCTCATGGACCAGCCCACGCCAGAGCTCCCTGTCGGCCGTCACCACCCCCAGCTCCTTCAAGGTCAAGCCAGTCACTTCAAGGATACCATCCATCCATCTTGCCCTTGGTCGGCCCCTCTTCCTTTTTCCTTCCATTTTCCCCAGCATAATTGTCTTCTCTAAGCTTTCCTTTCTTCTCATGATGTGGCCAAAGTACTTCACCTTGGCCTCTACTATTTTTCCCTC